AGCAGGATGTTGCAACCCTTAAACACCCAAATGGGTGTAGAATCGGGGCACAAGAAGAGAACGGTTTGGGTAAAGCCCCTTCAGCCTGTTGCTGTAGTATCTATGATTTCACCCATTTAGTGCAGTTTTTCCTTGTGTTTTGCCTCTGCAACCTCCTTTCTCTTCCACAACCAAAAGACCAAGGGCAGAGAATGGCATTGTCATTTGCAACTTCTTATCAGATATCGATTAGAAGCAGCTTTAAAGAGCAGCTGTTTTGAATGAGAAATGCTTTATTTGTAGCTTATACTTCCACAGTCTAGCTCTTCTTCTTTCCCTTTCTGAATGGTGAATACAGATACCACCACCTGCTGGTAGGAGGAGTTATTTCTTTCACACAGACTAGTTGGCTGTTGGCTGTAGTCTGTGCGGTGTTTAAGTGCCACTTTTTCAACCTGAATGGCCCAGACAAAGTCGACATGAGGCAACACAGAGGTTGGCCTTTGTCGCTGATGGTTCTTGACGGTTTGCTGTATCTCTGAACTTAGGGTGACAGCTTGGTTCAAGGACAGGGTTAGCTGTTAGGGGTTAGGTAAGCAGTGGTTATATGGTTAATGTTAGGTTATGTCTCCAGGAAATGAATGCAAGTCAATGTACAGTCCCCGCGAGGAATAAAAACAAGCATATGTATGTGTGTGTGTTTAGGGGGGGTAACTGAGCTGTCGGAGCTCTGAGACTGTGGCGGTTATAAATGACACCAGAGTTGATTAGAAATCAGGAGCGCTGAATCAGCTCTCGTTTGCATACAAGCAATATCCCTTCCTCACCATCTCTAAATCACTGTGTCTGTCAAATCGCTGCAAGCCAGGCTAAGGTAGGAAGCGGGTACACCAGCAAAGATTGCCATCATCATGCCTGCCAGTGGATGTTGGTGGATAATGACTTCTCATAGCAATCCAGTATTTCTTGGGTATCTATTATTCATAAATCCACATCCGGGCTGTGCACCAAATGGACAAACTTGTTCCATTTGGGGGAGAAGAGAGTCAAGAGACGTGATGCCAAAGTTGATGCTTTGCTACAAATACAACTTCTAATTACTTGGCTTTGAGAGAGCGTGAAACCGCCCGCTCTGCTCTTTTCCCGCTCTGTCTTTTTCACTCTCTCTCTGTCCCTCTGCCCCTTCACACAGTCACCCCCCAAGAAAAATAAATGACCAAATTAAATAGAGAAGTGTAATTTTAATTTTGTTATTTTCTTGATGAATGGCTGCGCGTCCGGGCGCCCCAGCTTGCCAAGCACAGTTCTACGGGGCATTGACTGATTGGTTTTTAGCCAGGCGGGATGTAAGGGAGGAGGAAACACAGAGGGGAGAGAGGAGAGAGATGAGGTGGGGAGGCTCGGTTAATGATGAGGATTCAGAGAAGAAGGGAGAGAGCAGGGTATCGCAGGTGAAGAGGAGATAATCCCCCCAGCCACTTTTATCTGACAATAACGAAGCCATAGTGTTTGTTGCCTATCTACTGTCAGGCAGTTAGCAGTCATGTCCTACAGCCCTGTATCCTTCACACAAGCTGCCGTTCATCTTCAGACATGTCATTGTGGATCATAAGGGGGACGAGGCGGAAATTGTAGCATGTGCAGAAAGAATTTGAGTAATTATTATTCATTCAGTTTCTAATCATTTCTGGAAGCAGGACTGGACCTTTGCAATACTGACTCCTACTGTAAATGTAATTTATGAAAAGATATTGAAATTTGGACTTACATAGATGTGGTTTTCGGCTTTTGAAATGAGAAACATTTCAGGGAAGTGACCCCAATCTTTATACATGTACATGCATATTCAGGCTTAGAAGGAAATGGACAATAGCAAGTGAATAGCTGGGTAACTGCTGTATAGAGAGGGAGTGTAAATGAGATGGAGAAGGAGATAAAGAGACAAAGAAGTATGGACAAAAAAGTGGAAGACTTTGAAGATGGAGAGATGCAGATAAGAAAAACAGGGACAGAGAAGAGAGAGGAAAGAGAGGTGGCAAGAGGCTATAGCAGAGGGAAGCTTTGATTGCTGTAATGATTACTTGCAAATTGTTGTATCAGGTCTCCTGTTGGACTTCATTTAGCATTACTCAGTCTCAGCCCCCCGCCCTACATGATGAATATCCTTCAAGCCTCCATCACCACACCAACAGAGCGGCAAACCCCTGTGTCTGTAAGCAAGCACTGAATTGTAATGGAATAGTTAATTATCCTGACAGGGGAACCAAATATTTATCAGGAGTTCTTGTATTTTAAAGGGGCGGCTGAATTTGTCGTCATCAGGGTGTCGGGCCCTGCTCCACATCCTTCCCTCAGGGGGGTAGAGCTGGCATTTCCATCAATGTTGTTATTTGTCATTATGTGCCTGCTACGTTAATGATCTCGATAAAGTACTGTGTGCAGCTGCTGTGAGTATTTAAAACAATCAGCAAGCAGGTTTTCATGATACCATCTTCTTTTCCTCTGGGAAAATAACCTTCTCAGTCTCTTCCTCTGTTCCTTGTATGATAACATTCAGGTCATATCGTTATTGCTCAGCTACTCTCGCAGCTCTTCTAATTCTTTTTTTGTGCATGTTCCGCCTGTCAGTCTATTGATCCAGGCCAGCAGTTCACTTGGGAGCACTCCAACCTGGAGGTGAACAAACCCAAAAATCGTTATGCCAATGTCATTGCCTACGACCACTCCCGTGTCATCCTGGCTCCCATTGAGGGTAAGGCTCACCTAACCTCACTCACCTCACCACCCTCACCATGCTAAAGTTGAGCTCAGCTCATTGCAGGTCATTTGGGGAATCCCCATGATTACAAATGAACAATTTGTACTCGATAGACATATGCCAGACAATAGAGGAATAGACAGTGAGGTCCAAACTAGAACAATGCATAGCAGTGCAAGATAGGATTTGTTCAGTATAATCAATATAGTAGAGCGCTGTGTTTTTATTGCACTGTAAAACAAAACAGGATAGATTAGAAATCTAAGATGCTCACTGGACTAAATTACTGTGCTGTAGCTGAATTGATACTTAACCAGAAAATAAGAGAGGATAGGAAAAAATAAAAGATAGAAGACTATCGGGCTGGATTGCACCAGTATCGTCTTGTGTTAACACAGAGGCGTTAACCCAAATAGAATAAAACATAAGTGAAATAGAATGAAATCATTTATAGTACATGAAGTTTAAAATCACTTGAGTTCATTCCAGATTCCCAGCAGATAATGACTGTATATGATAAATTTTTTTGGGAGGCCGCAGGGGACTTGTTTCAGCACAGCTTGGTCCTGAGCAGCTAAGCAGTTTATGGAATCATATTGTTTTTGGCGGGTTAGGCAAGGATTTGTTTCAGCTTATCTTTGGGTCCAACACTCAGTCATATCTCTCACTCCGAATTCTCAGGAATTGAACCAGTGTTTTCACCATCCCATTTGTCTCATCAGGTCGGCCCCTTTGTATTGAGAATCTCAGAGCCAGAAAAACTCTTTCTCTAACTTGGAGCTCTCAAGGGACGTTGTCAGAGGTAGTCACCCTTCACCGCTGACATTGTTCTGACATTGCATCAGAAGAGCTCCCTACTCCTCACGGCCGTGCCCGATTCCCTACTCTATAGTACTCTCCTTTTGTGTGAACTAAGTGCTCTGACTAGATTTCAACAACTTGCAATAGTCAGGTCAATTTGAAGGTGCAACAACATGAATAACAAAATCATCCCAGGGAAAAAAAAAACGCCTCATCCATAAATACATAAATTAATCAAGTCTGAAATTTCTATTTTACACTGCAGTGAGTTTGCCATTAGTCGCAGCAGTAGAACAATTCATGCACGCCGCCATTCTCTGTTCACTTAGCTATGACTAAAGCCAAGGCACCACAGTCAAACTGTGCGACGTGGTATCCCTTTTAATAACATTTGCCTTATTTTCTTCCGTATTTCTGTACTTTCTTTCATTCTTTTTTCTTTGTATTGTATCTTCCCCCTTCTCTCTCTCTCACTGTCTTTCTATTTCTCTTACTCACTCATTTGCTCTCTTTCTCCATCTTATTCTTTGTCTCCACTCTGGTTGTGGTCCTCACTCCGCCTCCTCTCTTAAATTAGCTCAGTGGAGTGTTTCATTGCTTGTCGCTTGAATGAGGAAAGGTCAGTCAAAGAGACGTGACTCCGCACTACAGATGGAGTCTCTTTTCAGCTGACAGGATTGTAGAAGTTGCTTAAATGAAGATGGGTGATGTTCCAGCTTATCTCTGTCAAATGCTCAGTGTTAAACATACTCTAATCATAAGATTTTCTTGCTTACATTTTTGACAGTTTAGTTGAAATGTTTCAACTAAAAACACCTCCACAACAGGTTGGTTTCATAGGCTGGTTTCATAGTTGCACAGTTTTGCCCACATTAGGGTTAGTGTTGCGATCCTGATGAAAGTGTTTTAGTGTTATAAACACAGTGAAGGATTAGTCAAGGCAGCTGGAGCAAAATTTTGCAGTGTACTATATACACTCTCTTTGGCATTAAAACATTGTCAGCACACATCCATTTATTCTGCAAAGCAGAGAGATTCCTTACAGCTGGATTTAGTGGACCCAGTATGTAGCAGAGTATAATGGCACGCTGAGAGGGATGGCTGCTACCTCTGTGATGGCTGAGTGGTCGATTTACTTCTTGCTTTCCTGCATTGTCCAGCACACTTCAGCCTTGGGGGTGGTAATTCAGACAGAGACTAAACCATATCTACAGAAACCCAAGTCAAACCACAGAGGCAGAAAAAAAGAAAATGATCAAAGAACAGTGCAGGACGTTGTGACATTGAGGTAGTTGCTGAGGTTTCTACATTAACAGAGAGGGTGAAAGGCTGTGAGATTGTTTTAAACATCTCATTTAATCTTGTTTTATGTCTTAAAATATTGCCTTTACAATTACACATGCATTGTTATACCAGACGTTCTGAGTGCTAGGCAAGAACAATACCTAGAGGTACCTACAGTAGGTGCAAGGATCCAAAGCTACAAAAGCTGTTTTTCTTTTTTCCAGTCTGGAATTTTTACACTTTATTGACTGGGAAGCAGGGTCAGTGTGTGTGAAAACTTGGAATTACTGAGGCAGATGGCACAAAACAAAAGGATGAAAATAATGAGCAAATCAAAATCATGATAGTCAGATAAATTAAGGTAGGAATAAAAAAGAAGCAGGCATCAAAAACACCATGTTCCATCTTTTAATCTCTTCTTTTGTGTGGTCTGTATCTAGGTATCACAGGTAGTGACTATATCAATGCCAACTACATTGATGGCTACAGGAAGCAGAATGCCTACATTGCCACCCAGGGTCCATTACCAGAGACATTTGGGGACTTTTGGAGGATGGTGTGGGAACAGAGAGCGGCCACTGTGGTTATGATGACCAGGCTGGAGGAAAAGTCACGGGTAAGACTGCTCACCTGGTCTTTAGACTGATGCAGGGCACCAGCCTTTATCGGTTTCCTTTTAAAGCATCTATCTTGTGACCTCACAAAATACTTTAAAACGCTGTTTTAAAAATAAACTTCAAAATCAAATCACCTGTTCAAGAGCGCAAGTGCAAGAACCAGGTGCTGAAAATGGCACAGCTTTACACTGATTTCCCAGTTGCACAACTGAACTTCATAGGTAATTAAACTATTTTTTAGAAGTATTTCTTTTAAAGAAGTGATTAAATCTGAATGGAGTGGTGACGGTGACAGGAGAGGGTGATAAAAGCAGGCTAACTCACCATTTACCTGTGTATATCTGATAAGTTAAGCTGCAGATCCACTGGGAGTGTCTTCACAGACTTGGCAGTGTTTTCTCTCCTTATTTGCAGTGGAAACTACAAGCTGCTGTATGTTCCCTACAGCACTGAGAGCTTAGCAAGTTTTAGCTCTCGTGGTTCACACTGCAGGAAAATAAAATTCAACTTGAAGCAACAGAGTGGCATGGAAAAAGCAAAGAAACAACCAAAAAAACACCAGACATATTTTCTTTCTCTCTTTTTTTTTGTTTCTTCTTGGGTTTTCCTGTAATAAAATTAGCCTGTGCTAATCAATCTTTGAGTGCTTTATGAGCATATTAGAATTTCTGATAAAAACAGAGCAGAAAACTGAAAATATACAACATTATTCTTTGGAAGGGGCTCATGCTGGTGTTGGTGATATGGAAATATTATATAAGGCAATGGCAGCACTGGAAATCACAAACTGTCAGATTAAAAGGTAGGAGAAATAATAACAGCTCACCTCGATCATAGTGTATCAGTCAAACACATAATCTCCATTAAAGAAGTCTCACAAGTGTTTGATAGTTGGATATCAGTTCTGTGTGAAAACACAGGTGAGCGCTACAAAAAGATAGAGCAAAGCCAAACGGTGTGCTCTGACTTTTTGGATGGATCTGTAGACATGCGCTTTACTATCAAGGAGTGAACTTAAATGTCAAAAAGCCAACTGTGATGTTTCATCCTGTCAAGTCAAACCTGTGTCAACATCAGGCTCACTCACCCCAGGTGCCTGCCCTCCCTCTGTCTGTCCATTTTCACTTGTTTACCTATCCTCCGTCCTGACATGCGCGTTCCACTCCTGTCAAACGTGATCAGGATTAGCAAGTGATATAACTTGAGTGTCAGCTTGAGCAGGAAATGGGAGAGAAAGCTAGAGAGCAGCACATCTGCCTCGCTAGCTGTCATATGTCATCAGATGTCTGTTGACACATCATTCTCCATATTGAATTAATCCTTATTACGTGGCTGATGGGAGTGGTGGAAGAAGCAGCTGCTGCTTTTTCAGATATATTTTAGAGCCCCTGGACATGAAACCTAGGAATGGAAGTAACTAAGAATAATACACACAAAGTTAAATTTGAAGCAGAACCAGACTTTTTTTTTATTATTGTTTTCATCTTGGAATCTTCTATAATAAATTCTGATCATGGGATAATCACAGACTGAATACGTCAGTTAGCATATTAGAATTTCTGATTAAATCAGAGCAGAAAACAAAGTTATACAGCATTATTCTGAGAAGTAAACTCAGACTAATGTTAGGAGAAGAACAGGAGATTCTTTTGTCTGAGGACATGAAATGATAAAACTTCATCTGGCTTTTATTTTGACATGTACTAAAACAAGAACTGATTGTGAATCAATTATGTTCCCTACATTTTAAATGTAATCCTACATGCTGATGTTTTGCAGTTTTGTTTTAGGATTTAGGAAAGCTGCTGGTGAAGCTAGTGGAGGCCCCATCTAATATAACATGGCACAGATGTTGCAGTAGATAACTCTGTCTCTTGCTCTCTTTCACTTCCAGATTAAGTGTGATCAGTACTGGCCCAGTCGTGGCACAGAAACCTATGGTATGACCCAGGTGACACTCTTGGACACAATAGAATTGGCCACTTTCTGTGTCCGCACTTTTTCCTTGCACAAGGTAGGATGATATCTTTCTCTCTCTTTCTCTCCCACACACATACACATGCGCACACTTCTACTATCTACATCTTCTCTTTGCTCACGAAATACTGTAAATAAAAACATCAGCAAAGACATATTCAGAATTTATTTTATTTATTTTCTTATTCTACATCTGGCCAATAAACATTTTGCAGGACACACCTTGTAAAAACACACACAAAGTTTACATAACCAGCAAAAATAATGGCACAAACTGTGTGCAGTTTTTCCATTCAATCTAAATGGTACACCTTGTAATATAACCATGTCCCCATTGTCCTTCCAGTCCATCTCTCTTACCTCATTCAGCTTTCCCTCTCCTCAATAGATCATCTGTTTATGCGCATCTGCCAAATTGAAGCACTTAGGTAAAGTGAGCAAAAAAGAACGTCAATATACTTAATTGACCGCTCTCATGCATATGTGCGTGCACACTCACAATTTCAAATGCTGAAACATGCAGGCGGATGCTCGGTCTCTACACAGATGAAAAAAATTCTTTAGAGGAAGCATTTGCATATGCATTCCGCTCTGCGTGCTCATAGACATGTACACATATAGTGATAACGCACATTACAGTGCATTTAAATTCATTACCTGCAAACTCGCTCTCACTCACACCTCACAGTAATGAAAGTACAACTTGTAACGAGTTAGAAGACAGCAGAAAACCTGCCATGAGAGAGATTAGATGTTTCCAGAATTTTCCTCTAGACCAAACAGCAGCATGGTAAAGTCGCAGCTCACTTTTTAGCAGGTGTCTTAGCAGCAGCAATGAAAATACCACAGCAAACTAGTAACGCTAAAGATATCAAGATGTCAGCAGCCATGGAGCTTTAAAGCCAGCTGGTTGACATTCAGGGCCATTTACATGCTGCTTCTCTCAGCCTTCATCAAACCCACTGATATGATTCATCTGTCCTCTCCCTCCTCCCTATAACTGCAGCAACTGCTGTGATTTCTCACTGAGCTGTTTTCACTTTGTATCTCTGAATATTTTGTTGGATTCGTGTGAAGGATAAGGATGCAGAAGCTGGCAGTAGGCACACAAACAAACACACAGTGCATCTACAAAGCAACTGCCATGGTACCTATCCATATGTATGCGTGTCCTGCAGTGATGTCGAGTTGTCTCAACTGATGAATCCTTTACCTAAAAAAACAAAAAAAGAGTTTTAAAATAAACAAGCAGCCAGTCACAATGATGGTTCCTGCCTCAAACCACAGAAACAGGGAATGTCATAAAAAAAAACAGGAAATAAGAACTAGGTCAGTTTGCCTTTAATTACCAGACTCGTTTATTCATTTATTCAGCAAGGGAAAAAACTCCTCTGTCAGGGAAGCAGAAGCACTGCATTGAAATGCAAACAGTACTTCTATTAGAGGATCTTCTGAGAAGAGGAGAACTGAAAGATGCAGGAGAGATTTTTTTCTTTCTTCTTATCCTTCTCAAAAAGCTTCCTCTGGATTCCAGCTTGTATCTTTGATTCACTGAGAGTTTAATTTGATGTGGAAGCTGGCAGGCAGCTGTGTAATGTGGGTGTTTGCTGCATCTATCTGGAGATATTCTGACCAGCAAAAACATGAGAGCATAAAGATACAAGTACCTATACTGTTCAGTGTAGAAATGATTGTTAAATGGATTGTATTTCGTTGAGTCCATTGGATCAGTATGAAACACTTACCCCCTGTAAAGATAACTATACAAAGGTAGAACCCACAGCCGCAGTGGTTGGTTACAGTGTGAAATTTTTCACAGTGAAGAAAAAAATTGATATGAAGGATCCAAATAATCATATTAATCAAAATATTGTTAAACCATTTACATTTCAATCCTAATGCACAAACCCGTCGAGCTTTTTGCGTCAGTTGCCTGTCTGCAATTTGTGCAGTACAGGCCTGAACATTTGGAGCCAGAATCTCCCAGTCAGTGAATTAAGCGTGTTCTGCTGAAGAGTAACTATTAGAGCTTAAATTAAAGCTGTACAGCAACCCATATAGTTCCTTCACTTGGCCTGAGGGTGGACAGTGTCTCTTCCAGCAATCTGGTGAAAGCAAACGATATATATAAACTATACTGTTTTATTTTTGTTATGACACCAATGAAACCACTTTGTTAGTCCAAAGACGACAACTCCACAACTATATCCAACCCACCTCACTCTCATTTTTTTCCAGAATGGCTCTAGTGAGAAGCGGGAGGTTCGTCAGTTTCAGTTCACAGCGTGGCCTGACCATGGCGTACCAGAGTACCCAACCCCCTTCTTGGCCTTCCTCCGTAGGGTCAAGACCTGCAACCCGCCTGATGCTGGACCCATCATTGCCCACTGCAGGTCAGTAGTAATGTTATGCTGTTAGAATCGGTTAAAAACTGCTTTCGTCCCTTGGAGGTTGAAAGTCATTCATATTTTATGTAACCAAAATAAAATATCTGTGACCAAGTGGGACAGTTTCATGCTTTATGGAAACACAGAAGTGCCCCTTGTTGCAACTTTAGAGCAAAAATGAGGCCTAATCATAAATATGGAGGAGGTATCCTTGGGCCATTTTACCCCATGCCCTAGAAATCGAGTGCCACAGAGTGTGTATATATATATATACTCATAAGCAAACAAAATGGCTCCTTCCTGTGTATAACATGCATTATATAAACACACATGCTCTTTTTCTTACCAGATTGCCATCTTTTCTTTTCTCCATTAGTTACATGATCTTTCTTATTAAGGCATTCTTTTTTTTCTTTCTCTGCTTTTATTCTGTCCACCTCTGTCTCTTATTTCCCTCGCTTTAGAAGCCTCACAGTGATCCCATCACATCTTTCCTGCTTCTCATTTTTTTGCACTTTAGCCCTTCCTCCTTTTACAAGTGATATTTCTCAAATGGCTTATTCAAACTGAAATGTTTCCCTTTATCAGAATTCAGTGAGTCTAAAGTACTTCACAATAAAACAGAAATTTGACGGATTGCTTCCCTCAGTCTCTATCACTGTCTGCTTGTGGTTCCAGTTGTCATTTTTAATTGCTCCTATATTTGCTTCCCAGCCATGACTATATCTCTCTGTTTTCTTTTCCTACTCAATTATTTAAACTGCAATGCAACAACAAATCTACAAGTATTACTGGATATACATACTCATATCATGGTTTAATATTTTAGTAGCAAGAATTATTGTAAATTCTAATTTAAATTCTACAGCACAATTGTGACAAGCACTTAATATTAGGAAAATAAATACTCATAGCCACAGCACCCTCACAGGGTAAGAAAATAAGAGTATAAATAAGTTATCAAACCTCTTAAAACATCCAACTTTCTCATTCCCCCTTCCTACAGTGCGGGTGTGGGCCGGACAGGCTGCTTCATCGTCATCGATGCCATGCTTGAGCGTATAAAGCACGAGAAGACGGTCGACATTTACGGCCATGTGACACTGATGCGCTCACAGCGGAACTATATGGTGCAGACAGAGGATCAGTACAGCTTCATTCATGATGCGCTGCTGGAGGCAGTAGCCTGCGGCAACACTGAAGTGGCTGCCCGAAGCCTCTATTCCTACATCCAGAAGCTGGCCCAGGTGGAGAGCGGTGAGCACGTCACTGGCATGGAGCTAGAGTTCAAGGTACAGAAAATGGAAATATTTCATCAATTGCCTTGTGGTCATATTTAAATACAGTTGTTTTACACAGAGTTTAAGCCAGACTTTTTTTTTTCTTTTTACTAATAAACAAGATTAAGGTTGGTGTTCTACTGGGGTCTGACATAAGTTAAGTACCGGAAATCTCAAAAACCCACCTGGCAGACTGAGCTGACCTGAAGCCAAGATGGTGGCAAACAACATGCAAGTCAAATCAAAAATTTCAGACATGTTAGTTTAATGCCTGGATTAACTTTTCACTCATTGAACTTAATCATAAACTAGGTGCAGTAAATGGAATCAAGATTAAACTTGCATGGCAGCTATTTGTTCGTTGTTGTCCAAGTAACAGAATCTCAGACTGACTAGTATACAAATATCTTTTATTTTTCTAGTTTTCTTTTTTTTGTTTGTTTTTCTTGCAAGGATGTAAAATAGAAATGTTGAAGCCACCTGTATGTTCACAATGTTCATCTTTACAATTTGGAAAAATATGTGTAAACCAAGAAATTAGGTTAAATCTCATGAGCACAAGACAAATGATTTTTGGCTGAAAGCAGAATGGATTTCAGTTTAGGTTTGAGAAAAATAGACATTGTGCTTTCTTCGAGAAATTCACGACAAAGCAGTTGGTGAGGATAAATAGCCATTAAAGATCTGAACAATCATCACTGACCTTGACTTGCACATGCTCATTCTCAAATTATCTGTCATCTTTCCATCGCCATTCATCAACACAGACCCCCTGCCAAGAAATAATAATAGTACTTGTGTGTTTCGACCTTCTTTTTTTAATAACCACTGCACAACAGTGATGGAATCTCTATCGCCATCCATAACAGGGAATGCTGAGCTGGCGTCAGGCCTCGAAGAGGGATTAATAATGTCCATGTTCCATTCAGGATAAGGGAGAGAGGTGTGTGTGTGTGTGTGTGTGTGTGTGTGTGTGTGTGTGTAGCGGGGTGAAGAGCAGAGCTAGGTAATTAATACTTGAGGATGACAAATGGAGGTGGATTGCAGGGCAAGCGGAGGGAGGAGCATTTGGCTAATGAACAAAGGGATGACTGTATGCTAACTTGGCACTAAGGGAGCGATCTGAGAAAACGCTGCGCTATAGGATGAGTGGACATTGCCATTCTTGGGTGGGAAACAGGCGTCGTACAGAGTTGAGGTGTGACTGGTGGGATCCTCAGGAGCTCAGCGTGGAGAATGAACCAAGAAGAGGGACTTACATGAAGCTGTAAGTGTAGCACTTTCTGGCACATGTGCATGAATAGCAAGCATGCTTATGGAAAGATTTATTTACCGAAGACATTTGTGCACATAACTCCCATCCATGCAGAATGCACTGTGAAATATACAGGATTCAATCCACACAACCAAAAAAAAAATGTAATTAGAAATGGATTATTTGAAACTAAGAAGCAGAGTTTTATTTTGGATGCAAATGTAAATAAGAATACAAAAGTGTCTTTTTAAATTAAAAATAACGGGGACAGTTTACCAGAAGTGTATATGGTATTGTATTGCATTGTATCAAAAACACAATTAATATAGTAAAGTGATAAACACACAAACTAGAATGATCAAGAGGAAACTGTAAATAATCTATTAATAAATGTAAGGTTTACTAAGGATGTTTGATATAACTATAATTTATTATTCTTTTTTGGCATATTAGGATTTAGAAACACACTTTATATGGTCTCTTTTTGTTCACTGGGCAACTGTTTCTGTAAGCCCTTGTTTCCAGCTATTGTATAAAATATAATTATCCCTGTTGTGGTGTAACATGACTGAAGTATCTAACATTCCTTCCAACTGAACAGATATACTGTACTATAAGTGGAAAGGAATTGGCAGCCATGACTAGAGGTACCCTAGGTGTCCCTCTGCCCTGCAGATGACAGGTTGCCAGGCTTGGCACCATTCCTTGCACCCTCGGTGGTGTTTGGTGGTGTAGGTGAGGGTCTCTTTATTGCTGCCAGGCTACCTCAAGCCTTTCTAGGTACTCCTGTGAAACACAGATCAAAGGGAGGACACTAGCAAAGGATAAAGGGAAGGGGGGAGCAGGAGGAGGAGGGCTGGGCGGACTCCAAGTAGCCACTGACACAGAGCTATTGGAGAGGAGAATACTCAGATGGGAAAATGAAAAGTTTCACCATGTCCACACAGAGGAGAAACACTTTCATTGTGTGTATTTTGACAACCACTAAGAGACAAAATCTATAGTCCTGCCTACTTTTCATTTTGGTCAGCTGCAGTTCATTTCTTTCTCGTCTCTTACAATGCCGCATCTCGATTGTGCCACACTTTTTCTTTGTATAGATGAAGCCTTAAACAGTAGGACGAGGGTGTCTTTCATTTGCAGCCAAATGCCAATAAGCAAGTGCATGCACACTCAACCACACAAAGTCTTTGTTGAGATACTGAAGCATAAAAGACTTGCTGACCCACAAACTCCCAGTGAGGTCTTTATGACAATGATGAGGCAGCAGTACAGCTTTTCATTTTGATCATTATGCAGTGTGTGTGTGTGTTTGTCTTTCTGAACAATCTTGTGTGAGTATATATTTTATGTACACATATCAGGCTGCCTTTATCAAAGGCGCCAGTGACCCACTTTTAGACAAGCCTTCTCTTTCATACAGACTTGATTCTGAGGCTTGTTAGCCTGAGTATGTGGCAGATTTTCCATCATTGCATCTGGCCAAGACCACACAAGTTGCAAAAGGAGATAAAGTTTGTGAATTGTTTTCAAATAAATATATTCTTGACAACCAATGTCCCTTTATTAGTTTCTGTGATGGATGTTCTTGTTTTATCTGTCTTGCACCTGTCCTCCCCTCCATCATTCTCTCCCGATTTCTCCTCCTTTTATCATCCTCTTCTGCTCTTCCTTCTTCTCTCTTTTCATCTCTCTTCTTTCCTCTGCAACTACTTTGGCTTTTGCCAATTCATTCACTCTTTTTGTGTTTTCCTTCCTTCCCTTTATTCATCTACCCCTCTGTCATTCCCTTTCAGCGTTTGGCCAACTCCAAAGCCCACACATCGCGTTTCATCAGTGCCAACCTTCCCTGCAACAAGTTCAAGAATCGGCTTGTCAACATCATGCCCTACGAGACCACACGTGTCTGCCTGCAGCCAATCAGAGGCCTGGAAGGATCTGACTACATCAATGCCAGCTTCATTGATGGATACAGGTAAGAAGAGGGGCGAGATGGTGGGAAACATTCCAGCAGCACGCATCTGTGAGGTGATGCTATTACTGTTTTTTATGTTGCCCAGAAAGATCTTTAATAAATTACAGTAAGACATATTAGTTTAGCAAAGAGGTTAAACTTCAACATAAATTTTGCGGAGAGAAGACAGCAAATTTCTACACAATGCTTTCTTTCTTTGTGATCATCAAAATAATGTTTAGTGCTTAGCAGAAGCTCAGTATTCTTCTAGAAAGTATCAAATATCATCAAGAACTCTAAGTGTTAGTCCCAGAGTTTGCAGTACTGCTAAAAATTGTACTGATTAATTATATAAGCCAAACATAAATGGTTTTAATATGGTTTTACTGTATGTACAGGCAACAGAAAGCCTACATCGCCACGCAGGGCCCTCTGGCAGAGACTACAGAAGACTTCTGGAGAATGCTCTGGGAGAACAACTCTACTATTGTAGTCATGTTGACCAAACTGAGAGAGATGGGTCGGGTAGGATGCAAACACCATATGCATATAACAGCCTTTATATTTGTGGTTTCTTAACCTTTATAGGTCAAAATGATCAGACAGACAACAAAGGAAAGTTACATCGAGAAATTAGTGAATAAGTTATCAAAATATACTTTTACAAATGGGTCATCTCTCCCTCTCTGTTCAAACAGGAAAAGTGTCATCAATACTGGCCAGCGGAGCGCTCTGCCAGGTATCAGTACTTTGTGGTGGATCCCATGGCTGAGTACAATATGCCCCAGTACATCCTTCGAGAGTTCAAGGTCACAGACGCCAGGGTAAGACGTCTCTGAGTGAGGGTGGATTGAATAGGTTGCGAGCAGGAACAAGCAACAAATTAAGACCAGTATAATCATAAACTACAACATTAAAAAATTTTTTACATTTTGAAAAAGTAGAGTGAGCAGTATTACTTTCAGTAATATTACATATCAGTAACTATTAAACTTTTCATATCAGCCCTTCAGATTCAAAGAACAGGATCTTCCAATTTATACTGACATTGAACAGCAAAACAGGACAAATGTTTATGAAAAGTCATACAATAGACAGACATATCACTCTTTCAATAGCCTCAGGAGACCAGAATGCAATGTAGTACCAAATAATTCGGTAATTTCCACAATTGTATTGGTGACCAACTCTTCACTGAGGTGTGGAAATAGCCAATAAAGGCAGGTTAAGCAAAAGAAGGGCACACACAACAACACAAGTAAACAGCAAAGCTCTAACACTACACAAAGTGCAAATTACTCCCAAATTGAACTCATATTAATTTTGTTGGTGCTTTTTGTCAAGTGCGCTGGTCAGTGTTGGTGTCCCTCAAATAATTCAAAGCATGCAAAGGCAGAAAACAAGCTGATATCCAAACCTTAAAGAAACAAAACAGAGTGAGAAAGTGATGTTAATGCACAGTATATGAAGGTGATGATACATACAGTAAGTCAGTGTAAATTGTTAACAGGTACTGTACATGCAACTGTGTGTGTATCGGTGCATGCAGATTTTCAGGTTTTCAACTCCATATTGCGGGTTGTGTATACAGTATATCGGTGCATGCAGATTTTCAGGTTTTTAACTCCATATTGCAGGTTGTGTAACAGTGTATATAAACTTGGTTTAACCCTCCATACCATAATTAGGTTACATTCGTGTTTGTTTTATATACATCTGACCATGTGCTTGTGTATTTGTGTGTACATTGCGCTGTGCAGTTATAGCATAGATTCCACACGTCAACACTCGCATCTAGCGATCCAGTCACGTATTTAATCACACAATTTGACACGCTGCGTGGGCTCTCAGGTTGTGTGTCAAATTTTCCTCTTTTTTCCTTGCTCCTTCTCTTCGGCATGCTTGGTTTATTGTGTTGTCTTTGCCCCTCTTTTATTTTTAATCCCCCTGCTGAGGCAAAATGTTTTTGAGATGAAAAACTGAGGTAACAAAAGAAAGAAAACATGGAATGTGTCATAAAACAAGGAAAAAGACCTGGAAAGGGAGTTGTAAATGGAGCTTAGTTTATTAGTGTACAGTAAATGTAATAGAATAGATCTTGGCAGCAGCAGTGCAGAAACGTGTTAACAGCTAAGATAGGAATACAGTACATACGTACTGGCACATAGAGAAACGGAACCTCACATATTGAGCTATAGGATTAAGTAAACCATACCCTTTGAAATACATCCATCCATTCATTCATCATTCTATACTGTTTATTCTGAAGAGGGTCGTGGGGGGGCTTGAGCGAATCCCAGCTAACAATGGGCGAGAGGCAGGTCGCTTTTGAAATACAGCAGCTGCATTTACAGTACTGTACATTCAGTGCTCAGTCATCCCTGCATCTTAGCTGGGTGGCTGGACCAGCCCTCCAAGCCAGTTGGTCCAGCCACTGTATAAACTGTGCAAATACAATGCAGATACTATTTCTTCTCTCTGCTTGTGCAAGGAAAGAATTCCAGGATGCTTTGTAGTAAGGTCAGAGTGAGAGAACTGCTCATATGTACATGGTATGATGGGTCAAGAGTGGAGGATTATGTACGTAATCAGGATGTGTGCAGTTTAGGTAAAAATGGTGTTCATTGTGGAATCCTGAAGATTCATGACTGCATGGTGTGATATCCTCTCTTTGGGGCCAGATAATAGGTAAATGTCACTTAAGATGAAATGAGCTCCCATTCCAACTGTGGGCCAGCCATGGCCTTTTTGTGTGGAGGTGCATGTTCTCCCTGTGCCTGCATGGGTGGGCACCAGGCTAGCAACCTGTCCCCGTAAGAACCCCTCCATGGCTAGAAAACGACGAACGTCTCCTCTGAGATCTCGTTGCCCAATATGCTCAACAGCATGTGTGGAACTAAGGAGGAGGAGAGGGAGGGCTGAGCTTCCATGGGTATGCTCATCCAGTTTTTGGCACATTTAATTATATATTATCAACTAATTCTGTAACAGAATTTAGGCAGAATTATTCTAAACACAAATTTAGAATAGCAAAACAAACAAAAAACGGATCCCATTTTTCTTGTCAACTGAGTATTCACTCATTTGTTCTTTTGCAATGGGAACAAGTTGGAAGAGAATGTGTGAGAATGATGCATCATGTCAGAAGTCTGTTGCACAAAGAAACAACTGGAGAAATGAACACCTAGTTGTTTGAGTTACTGGTGGCATTGAGTGGACAGCCTGTCTCAAAATGCCCAAATGCTTCTCTCTGCTCACTCTCTTGAGAAATTTCTTCTCCCTGAGACAACTTTCTTTACAAGGACACAAGTACTGACTGTGCATTTTCAGACTTGATAAGCACCGCTCTCAAAGCAAAGCAGATGACTTTGCTTGTGTTAATATAATGCTGCCCACTTGTAAAAACGTGGTTAAATGTTTTTGTTTGCATTGGAAGAAAGTTAAATTATCTCATCACTTAAACTCTTGCCTCTAAAACAAGATTAGGAGAATCAATATGAGATTAAATTGTTAAGATTGACATTTTGTGGAGCAGGCTTGTCAGTGTGTCAGGTCTTTTGCTTTCAATTCTTGTTGTCCAATCCTACCTCCTGCTCTGTTAGTCCTCTGTTCTTGCTTCTTACCTCACTCACTCTACTCATTCATCAGGTGGCTCTATCGATTGCATTGCAGGATTATCCTACTCAACATGGTGTCTGGGAGAGGACGTTTGTCATGGCAGATACACTATTGATTAGCTTTAACTAGGACCTACTCATGCCACACACACACAAAACCCGACAGGAGAGAAAATAGAGACACTTGGGTTGGAGGTAGAGGAGCTGGGCTGGAGAGAGAAGGACACTGTCCCTCTGTGGTCTGGTGTGTGGGTGTGTGTGTGTCACTGTATATTTATGACTTTCTCCATCCACAGTATTGCCACTGTGCATAAAAAGCACCAGCAGATACAGTTCATTTTAAAGGAGCAATTAGCACCATTTTTATTGCCCTGTAGACTTTATTACTGTGTTGCTTAATTTGCACTATGATATGATCTGCAAAGCCCATTCTTTGTTCTTATTCTCTTTTCTCTCCATTTGCAGGATGGCCAATCCAGGACAGTAAGGCAGTTCCAGTTTACTGATTGGCCAGAGCAAGGCGTGCCAAAATCTGGGGAGGGATTTATTGATTTTATTGGCCAGGTGCATAAAACCAAGGAGCAGTTTGGGCAAGATGGGCCAATCTCTGTCCACTGCAGGTGAGGGGTCTCAATGTCATATTGCCCCATATTTTCTCTGCTGCACTGCATTAAAGGTCCAAGACACAAATTGCTATTTGCTTTCTTTTAAAATCATATATTTGCCACAGGCAAAGGCACTGCTGCTTGTTTCACCTCAAACTGCACTCCAAAGACATGCTTTCCTTCTTGAAAGAGATATAAGGCCTAAGGTATCAAGACAAGATTAGATCACTTCTTAAGGTGGTTATTGTTTTGCAGTGCAGCACCTCCTGTGGCACAGCTCTAGCAGCATCATCAGATATGATCCCTCCTCTCCTTTTTGCCACCACAGTACACTACTTCTGCACCTCCACACACCCATCTCCTCCATAATTGATAAGGCTGAGATGTAGCTTGGCATTTGCTAAGAGGAGGCACATTAAATGATACAGCCATTCTTTTTGGTTTTATGATCGCTCCACAATGCATTTTTTATCACCTTGAAAACATCTTCCAAGGTAACCTTCATCATTAACATGGCAGGTATAAACCAATATTTGGTAGTGTTCACTATTTCTAAGGTGTTGACACAGAGAACAGTTGCTGTCTCAAATGTGATTTACATTTGGAACAAAGTGTCATTTTTGTTCAACATTTCTATCACACAGGCGCCATGAAATCATCAAACATGACATCACCTGAGTTAAAATGAAATGATGTCACCAGCCATCAAATGGCCCTCTGGGAGTTGTAAGATATGTCATAAGCTCCAATAAGCCTGAGTTATTCCTCCCCTCTATGAGACTGCTATTAGTTGGGGCAAAAGCTGTCATATAGCAAAAGGACTGGTTGTTGCATGAGGAATTACAGGACTGGATGGGACACAGCCTATTAAAATGGATGGTGATAGTCATATGACCACACTTATTCATGCACCATTTAGGCATCCTTCACACATCAGAGTGAACTTTGTGCACCATTTTTGGAGCATCATAAGAAGATTAACACAGAACGTCTTCAGGCCACAGTATAGTAAATCATTAGAGTGCTGTGCTGCTAATCGGGTGTTTAAATAACCTGCAATCCTTTTGTATAGTTTATGTTAATTTTATACTTTTGTGAAGTTTTTTTCAACCCCAAGAGTAGATGTCACTTTGTCTAAAGGCAGATGTATAATTTCAGAAAGAACTTTTTCTTTAGGGGACAAATCTATCTCTAAATTAAAGTTTGGTTGGTTCCTTTGTGTGTCACTACCGCAGCCACCTGCTGCTCACTATCATCCTCCCGCCCTTCCTTCCTTCCCTCCCTCCTACGGACTTTGTCATCTTCGAGTGGAGAGCTTATGCCTTCTGTTTCTCTTACTCTTTGGTCTTCTGTCACTGGCTTTTCCTGGCTGTCATCCCTCTGTCTATTTCTTAATCCTCTCTCTCTCTCTCTTTTCCACTCAGTCTGTCCATCCTTTCATTTTGCCAGCCCTGCTTTCTTCCACTCTCACCCTCTTTTATTCTTACTCCTCATCTCTCCCCACCAGCCACTATCTAATAAACCCACATGCTTTTTGTCATTAATTGCCTGATTACTTCCTGTGAATGGGGACACCAAATCCTCTCAGTCTGCAGTGGCTCGGCAAGCCTTCAGATTTGGAAAGTCGATCTTCCTGGGGAGAGGGAGGGAAGGAAAGGGAGAGGAGGGAGTTTAAGAGGCCATGTGACAGGCTGTGACTGACTCCCATGAAGAGGCTTTGGGTGGGCTGAGTTAATACCGCAGCATGGAGGCTGGTAGTGGGTGGTGAAATGTGTTTGGGGAGGTTGTATGTTTTGCATGATTAGGCTCAATATCGACTGCATTTGATATCATTTCTTGTCCTGAGTTAAGCTTTGTCCTCCAGCAGAGAGACACATTGTAGGCACACACAAATTCTATGTGTCTACTAGCAGCCATCAGTTTCACATTCAACAAACTAGCATGGGTGACTGGAAGAAGCCCAGATATATCTGTTGTCATATCAATTATTGTTCCACTGGTGAAGTGGAAGTCATTTCATAGCAAAGCAGCTTAGAGAGGCAGCTCTCGAGTGTTTCGGTGTCTCGATTAAGACTTTGCATTTCTGGAGAGCCTTTTTCCACATATGGGAGGAGGGGCTTAATGAGACAAAATGTTTGCTCAGTTGTTTGTGTGCATGATTTTTAGTGTGTCCGTGTGTCCTTGAGGGCTCATTTTGTCTGCGACAAAGATCCATAGTGGTTTCACATGCAGATTGCTTCTTGCCATTGCCCTGCTGCAGGATTTCTGACTGAGTATTCAAATAGTTCACTCTTTCAGACGGTCAGAACTTCCATTGTGCAATATCCTGTTGTAGATAAAGCATGTGTTTTAGATTACCGTTACCTTGCAGGTCATGGTTAGGCTAATGCAGATTATAAAATAAAGCTCACATTGTGTTTATGGTAAGGCACTAGAGGACTACAGGCAGTGCAAGACACAACAGAAAGACACTAAGCAAGCAAGACATATGTTATTCCCTTTTTAATTCACCTTGTGGTTATGTTTCTAGTGCTGGTGTGGGCAGGACCGGTGTCTTCATCACCCTCAGTATTGTCCTGGAGAGAATGCGCTATGAAGGTGTGGTTGATATCTTCCAGACAGTAAAGATGCTCCGGACACAGAGGCCAGCCATGGTGCAGACTGAGGTCAGAGGTCTCACAGATGCAAACACACAAACATACACTGATCAGCCATAACATTATGACCACCGACAGGTGAAGTAAATAACATTGATTATCACATTTCAGTGGCAGCGGGG